CGCACCTGAAGGCGTTTTTGGCCAAGGGGAACATCCGGAGAAGTTCACAGAACTGCGGCAACTGCAGCACTGGCTCTGAGAAATTCACCCCCTTGTACTTCCTTAAGTAGGAGAGAAAAGGATGGGGATTACAGAAAGAGCACCCAGAACTACATGTCGCTCTGAAAGTGCCTGGGGAGGGTATGTCACGTGTGATCATTGTTCTGGAACTACGGGTACATGGCAGTGGAGGCTTTAGGGACTTGGTGTCCAGTGCTTCAACTCCCATAGTTACTTGTTCCTAAAAGCATTCTGCTTGATGCATTCTTTAAGTTTTCCTAAATCACACCTCTCTCGTCGTAGTACACTGCCCAGTGATAAAAGACAAAATAAGGGGGAGGAGAGGGGGAGTGGTGGGGGATAAAGGGGAGCTGATATAGAGGAATTCAAGAGGAAAGAAAATGTTTCGAAACTGGTTCTGGAAGCAATTGTACAATACTACCTGATGTGATTGAACTATGGAATGTTATGATTCTCTAAGAGCTCTCAATACAATGATAAAAAATAAGAAGAAAATAAAACCAAAAACCAAATAAGAGGAAAATTGGAGACTGCTGTGTTTCTGAAGAGGAAGCATAGTGGTTCGTAAAGAGTTGAGCTACAAATCATAAGGTCAGCGGATCAAAGCCACCAGCCACTCAGTGGGAGAAAGATGAGATTTTCCACTGCTATGAAGAGTGACAGTTGGAAACCCACAAGGGCAGTTCTCCCCAGGTCGCTACGAGTCAGAGTCGACTTGATTGCAGTGAGTTTTCTGCTTCTGAAAGAGAGCCAGCAAAGAGAGCGTAGGTCAAACAAACAGGCAGGGGTAGTACCTTACAATCAAAAAGAAAAACCAAACTCAATGGCCATTAAGTCGATGCCAACTCATAGGGCCCCGATAGGCCAGAATAGAACTCTCCTATAAATTTCCAAGCCTGTAACTCTTAATGGGACTAGAAAGCCCCGTCTTTGGCCCACAGAGCTGCTGGTGGATTTGAACTGCCGACCTTTTGTATCGCAGCCCAAAGTGTCACCACTGCACCACCAATGCTCCACACCTTACTATAGATTCATGGTATTGTTTTATTTAACAATACTTGTTTAAAGTTTATTATGTACCAGGTGTAATTTTTAAGGATTTTGTAAAAATACATTAATTTATTACTTATATCTGTAGAAACTTACTAATCTCCGTTTAGGCCTACTGGGTTACATGTTGGGCTACTAACCATAAGGTTGGCAGTTAGAAACCCCCAAGTGCTCCAAGGGGGAAAGATGGTGCTTTTTACTCCTGCAGAGAGCCACCATCTCAGACACCCACAGAGGCAGTTCTGTTCCATCCTGTAGGATTGCCAGGAATGAAATCAGCGGGATGGAGGGGCGTGCGGGAGCCACCTTTTATAGGAGAGGGTCTCAAGACAGGGGGCCATTTCCTAAGTTGCCCAAGGTCACAGTGATGTCGTGGTGAAATCAGGATGTGAATGTAGGTGGCTTTTCTCTATGATTTGTGCTGCACTCTATATTAAGCTCACAGCCTTAGCTATTTATCTATGTAAGATGGTTGTCATGGGATGCAAATGAATACATTTCTAGACGTTTTATTTTATTTTAATAGAACTGGATTTCAGGGACAGAAAAATCAGTCTGATCTAGCTGATGAGTTTGACAGTGAGGTTTGCCTTTGCCAATTGGATTATAAGGCAGACATTTTCTATAAACTGAACAAGCTAAAGCTGCAGCTCCTACGTTCTGATGAAAATACACTTGAAGTATGTCTCTAAGAAAGACGATGTAAGACAACTCGGTCTTGGGACCACTTTTCACTTGTGAAAAAGAAATTCCATTGTTAACT